CACTCTATTTTTCGAACCTTTTTAACATTACATTTGATGGGTTTATATAGAGGTCGTCCTTGAAAGAAGGTTGTACACTCAAAACCCATAGAGATTGTTGTAAAATGGAAATAAAAAAATAAAATAAAAATTCAAAATAATAGAAAATTACTAAAAAAGACACCAAAACAATCATGCAAATGACACATAGGTCCCCATCAAAGGCCTCTTACCATCCTCATGGCTTGGGGCCTTCTTTTGACTTTCCGGCGGCATTTCAGATGATTTATCATCTTGAAAATGTAAATTGTGCTGAGACGATCATTTTGGTATAAGATTTGCACGGTATCACGGAGTTTTGATGTTTTCAGAACTTTGCATTTTTCTGGTTTTCGTGCAAACTCAATTTTCCTTTTTCCTCTCGATCTTGTCAATATGCCATGTTTATTGCTTTGTTTTTGCTAGCAAATCGAAGGGGATGCTGTCACGGGTGTTTTGCACCAAGAGCTGTGTGAAATGACCTCCGATTGGTTGTTTTGGGTTTTCGGCAAGTTGCTGGAAAATCACTTTTCTGGTGCCTCAAAATTCGTGCCCACTTGCAAGCCGTCAACGCTTCTCGGACCCCATTCACGACGTCTCTTGCTTCGGTCTTCCGCTTTGTTCGTGGCATATGTCGAACGTTCGTGCTCGTCGAGCAATACGACATATTCGAATTTGAGTTCGATGCGCCTTATAGATCGTGAGGTATGAGCAGGTCAGTTTGCCCCTTTTTTGGAAGAAGGTATCGGTGTTTTACAATTTTTGGATAATGGTTTGGCTTGCCCTTGCCCTTCCTTGAAGAGTTAACAACATACCCATTTTGGGTAAGTAGGACCTAGAAAGGTCCATTTGGCGTGAAACTCGGTAGTCAGGGGTTTTTTCGCCTTCTGAAGCGGTCTGTGGTTGTTTGGAGATTATCTGAGATCATCTTCAGGAAGTTTTACTATTGTATTGTGTACACTGTATACATATAGAGTGCAATACTCCTGACTGTACCTTCTTCCTGTCTCTTCGCGCCTTCGTCCGATTGGGGCGAAACTTGGTGAATTGCTTCGAGGGGTATCAAATGCCACTCTTGTGCAACTTTTGGGGCCGAGGTGATGTCTTTTCAGAGGCTCTTCAAAATCTGTCCTTATTCGACGTTGGCTTCCATAGTCTCTAGGGTAGAGCTGGTGCCTAAGGGGCATGGATGTAGGGCTGGCAATGGAACCGGACCCGACCCATACCCAGCAAGTATATCCCTGAAATGGGTTTGGGTATGGGTCTATTTCGGACTCACGTGTAGGGTCCGGGTCCAATAAAGGATACCTGAATAATCCCGGATCTAGGAACAGGTCTTGCTATACTCAACCTGGCGGGTACCCGGACTCGAATTTTTAGTTTATAGGGTTATCATAAATTCCCTCGCCCCTTTTATAGAGCTTACACTCCTTTGACTTTACTCGTCACATTAATGTGGGATTAATCCCACGCATTGGTAAGCTTAGTTTTTACTCATATACCTCCATTTGTAAGAATGGGTTTTCATTTTTCTATTATCATGTTTGTAAGGCGAGTTCCTCTCGAAAAGCTCGTTGCTCTCTCTCTCTCTCTCTCTCTCTCTCTCTCTCCTCTCTAATTTCAATCCAGAAATCTGACAGACAAAATTGACGACATTCGCTTCCATGCCTTCCATCAAATTTGAGAAATTCACTCATAGCCCTGAAACAAGCAAAAACCCGACCTAAAAATCCAGGAAAGAAAAAAGATAACAGAAAATCAAACCGATCAAGCACAGTCGAGTGCCCAATCCCAACACCCAAAACTGCATAACAAACAAATAAAAAGCAAGATTATATGGAAAAGCAGGCAAATATGGAATCTGGGTTCCTTTGATTTCATCCTCTTCTGTTGAATAGGTGCCACAACTGATGATCTTGAAGCAGGAGCTCCCCGGCTTGCCCATCTCTCTCTACTTTCTCTTCCATGTGAAAACGAAAGCAAAAAACACCCCCGCTCTCACTCTAAGACAAATAAATCTCAATCTCTCACTCTCACTCTAGCGGAACAACCCAAGCTCCTTATCCATGTCGCTTTAGACCAAATCAGCTCCCAAAATCTCTCATCTAGATTAGAATCAACTATTTCACTACTTACCAGTCTCTCTCAACTTTCTTTTCCCCACACTATTTTCTCTCTTTCTATTAGATGCTTCTCCCATTCTCTCAATTCCTCCACTCTCTGTCTTGTTTCTCTCTCTAAATCCACCCCTCCATCTCCACTAGTGCATGAGATTAATCCCACATCGAAGAGGGGCACTCAGTCATGGGGGTGTAATTGCTATAGAAGGGGTGGGGGAGTAACACATAAGAGAAGTTGTAAGCCTAGGTACGGGTCCGGGTCCGGGTCCCGGGTCCCGAGTCCCAGGTCCCTGGTATCCTCTCAGGTACAGCTATGGGTCCAACAGGACCCGGCCTATACCCTACTCGTTGCCACCCCTACGTCGGTGCAACCGCGTCCTCTTTTATTCGCATAGGGGGGTAGTTGTGTAAAAAATACACATCAACAATATTACCATTTTGTTCGTGAGAAAATTGAAGCCGAGGAGATAGATGCTTGCGTTATTTGGACCAAAAATCAAATAAGCTGATATCTTCAAAAAGGGTCCTGCAAAAGATAGACATAAGTTCTTAAAGAACAAGTTGTACATGTTCAAACATGATGTACAACGTGAGGGGGAGTGTTTGAATGCAATGAAGGGCAGTTTTATAATTTGTGTGTTTTAAGTGGTTTATATGGTTTATATTGTTAAGTCATTTGCTGTAATGTATGAGGGCAAAATCTGTCCGTACTCAATATGTGACATTATATATCATAATATAAGAGTTAGGGCTGTGCTCTAGTGTGAGTTTTCAGGTTAGTGCCTCTTTTTTTTCTTCTTCTCTATGTTTTTCAGGGGACACTCTCGTGGGCCCCCAAATGGCATTGAGAGAATCGCGCTTAACGAATAGTGGTGTAGAGGAGTGCTTACAAAATGAATTTGACTCTCAACTGCTGATAGACACTATGGTGCAACATAAAGTAGTAACTTGTTCTTTATACTGCAACATGTAGAATGGTTAAGAAGCATACCTTCCGGGTTTGGGAGTGAGGTCAGATCCTGGATTAGGATTAGGATTGCAGGATCGAGAGATGCACAAAATCCGTGGTATAGGGATTGAGATCCATACATGAAGGGAGCGCGATCCAAATTTGTCCAGGATCGAATGATAGTATATACGGGTTTGAGGTTTGTCCAGCATAGAGTCAAGGATCCCTAAGAGCACTTAACTAGGGTAATCTGGCTCAGAAATGAAGTCTGTTGAACGATATGACTAATATTTTTTCTTAATTAAAAAACCAAGCTGTCATTAAATTACAAAATCCTATTTTAAAAATATTCTATTTTATTTTATTTTAATTATTGGAGCGTGCTTCACAAGTGAGAAGTGATAGTGACAACCTAAAATGAGGATTCCAATTTAGTTCTCACACATAAAGAAGCTCTAGTCTTCAATGAAAATGCTGGTGATCATAAATAATAACTCAAATACGCTGGTGATTCATGCTGCGATTGTAAATGAATTTTTATTGCTGGTGATCTTCGGTACCAATGTACAAGAAACTCAATTCCTTAGTGGAAGCTCGATTCCCCTTATTCATGGACCATGATTTGGATCCCATTAACCACAGATCTAGATCCCCAATTTTGCGGATCGAGATCCCTATATTCAAGAAACGTCTAGAATCTAGATCCCTTGTCCCAGAGCACAGGATCGAGCATCCAAAGCTGGAGCGACCACTTTCTTGGGCGATCCCGATAATGATGTTAAGAAGCATGATTTTGTGAGCATTCATATTTAAAGGGACAGTGATGTCAGATTATGATAGAGATAATCAAATGGATCCACACATTTACTAGCTAATACAGTAGAAGTTGTCCACTGACTTCCCCTTTGTAATTTAAATTTTTGAAGTAATTCATGTATTCTGCTGTCTAATGGTGTTACTCTCTAGGTCGTGGTGGATTATAGCTGTTTCTTATATTGTATTGCACTGGCAAACTAGACTGCAATTAATTGGGAAAATGCTATGATGATGATGACTGGCAAACAAGAATGGTCATACAATGCGATACTCCTTGTGGCGCTCCTCAATTTATATTTTTTCAGAAATTACCTTTTGAGTTGGTAATGTACAATTGTATCACTTTATTGTGGTGATATCAAAGATCACAAGTTTTAAAATAAAATGGGTTTTAGGATTTTCAATATATTTTTATTGCACTTCTGCTTATAAAAAATTGAATAGAGACTGGTTAACATCTTCAAAAAAAAATAAAAATAAAATTGAATGGAGGCTGGCAATATATTGAGCAAGATTGGTATGCTTGTACTTAACACATTGTGGTATTTGAGGACAAAATATTTCATGACATTAACATCATAGCTGAACTTCAGTATTTTTTCATTGCCACTGGAAATTGCTTGAGAAACTAAGAATTCACTATCAGTGATTCTCTTATGAAAATTAGGGATGTGGATTTGCAATCTTTGAAGCTTGTCGAGGACTTTTGCCTTATTTGCCACTGGAAATTGCGCGGCAGTTTTTATGGGAAGACCCTAGGGACACCCTTCTAATCTAATCGAAATTAAGCTTCAAGTGGGTACATAAGTAAGCCATGACTTTGAACAAAGCACATCTGTAAAAGCGGCTCATCGTCTTTCTAGACCTTGATTGTTCATGGAAGTAGTTCTATAACATAATATATGGATCCATAAATGGGAAGTTTAAAACTTCATTCCCTCGTAGAGTTATGGAACTTCTCCTTTTATTTCATGTGGGTTTCACTGAATTGTTGATACCTTCACATAAAAACATGACTACTGAATTTTTTCATTTCATCATGCATCATATGGATTACACTTTATTGGTAGGCATTGATTTGTTCTTTGGTCATATAGGTAATTCATGTGAGTGAGGAGAACAGGAAACTAATTTTCTCTGAAAGAGATGCAATGTGGACAAAGTTCTCTGACCAAGTCACAGTAGGAGATATTTTCGAAGCAAAGGTTGGTCCTGTGGAAGATTATGGTGCCTTTGTTCACCTATGCTTTCCCGACGGTATGCAAAATCCTGGAGAAAAAGAGTGTTTTTCTTTGTTCTTTGTTTACTGAATGGCCAATCAAGCATTCATGCAATCTTTGATCATATAATTCTTCAATTTAGAGCTACTTTAAAAAAAGAAGAAAGAAATGAGAGCTTCAGTGTGCGGTTACATCGACATTGTCCATAGTAATGTTCTCATGCTTCCATGATCTGAAGAAAAATGAACTTGCTTTGTTTTCCTATTATTGCAGGTTGTTACCATCTGACTGGACTTGTACATGTTTCGGAGGTTTCTTGGGATTTGGTTCAAGATGTAAGAGATGTCCTAAATGAAGGGGATAATGTCCGGGTCAAAGTAATTCAAATTGACAGGTAGGTTTTCAATGCACATAAGATCTTTTTTTTTTCGTTTCTGAAATTTTGAACATCTGCAGCCATTGTAATGTCACCCATTCATGTTATTGCTTGTGAAAAAGGACGGGCTACTTAAGTTTTTTGCATATGGGGAGCATTTTTCTGATATCTAACAATCTAGAGCAGAACTTTAATGAAGCTTATCAATCAAAAGATCAAGTACATGCAAAAGGGTTCACTGTCCAAATGGTCAAATTAGCAAACCACCCTTTATGCACCTTTAATATTTGAGTGTGTTGTAGTTGAGATGAAGGATAGAAATACTTCTGTAGTACTTATTGTCAAAAAGTACGGCTAGGTACACTCTTTTGGTCAAATTAGCAAACCACCCATTATACACCTTTAATATTTGAGTCTGTTGTAGTTGAGATGAAGGATAGAGATACTTCTGTAGTACTTATTGTCAAACAGTAGGGCTAGGGATCCTCTTTTGGCCCTTCAGAACCCAATATGTTCTCTAGAAAAATGAAAAATCATATCCATTTTTGGGGAAGACTGCATGATTAGTGTAGGTGACTCCTGAGTGACTCTCCCAAAAGTTGGGATGGTTTGGGTCGATAAAACACCTGCCTTTTTTTTTTTTTGGGTTCTTTTTTAGATAGGGCGTAGTTTGGGCCTTTCAAGACTCGTGGATTGCCCGAGCTGAGTGCAATCAAGGAAGTTCTGAGTCCAAAAAGCGAATGACTGAGTCTTGCTTTCAAGACCTTAAAATTTGGTTGTTTTAACAAATTTGGTTGCTTCAATGAATATAGATGTTCTGCTGAATAACATTGTATTATTAAAGGTGTAGGTATACATCAAGTTGCACTTGAGTGAGTGTGTGCAAACAGACACATATACATCAGAGAGAAGAAGAGAGAGAAAGAAGGGGGGTATGACATTAGTGTTAAGTAAGGGGTCCCATTGGAAACCAGCGGCGAGAAACATGTGCAAGTGGCTCAATTCGAATCCCTCATCTGTGAGGCCATGCATTGGCTCATTAGCCTCCCTGTAGATGTTTGCGAATATGCCATGGAGAGGGGGCTCTTCCTTTAACAAATAGATTTTAAATTTTTTTTCTTACATGGACGACTGAAAGAGAGTGGATATGTGAAATACCTCAAGTTCAAAACTTCAGAGATAGTGCTTGCCCTCAATTTATTTGGAAGTTGAAGAAAAGCTCTCTTTGGGTTAATTTAGGTGCTAATGGTGTGCTAAAGTATGCAATTGAAAATTACATCAGGCATGCTTCTGCAGTAAGTGACCCTATCAGGAAACAGTTGCTTGTCTCGGTGTTTATTATAGTAACCAGGAATCTCTTATGTCTTAGTTCATCAAGAAGTCTTGGCCACTTCACGGGATTTTGAAGATGTCATTATTTAATCTCATACGAAAGTTCCCATCTTCCGAAAAACACAAGTCTGTCTGTCAAAACATAGGTTTCTATGCCTGGAGCATCCTCAATATTATTCTGTTCCAATAGAATGAGGACCATAAAGGTCCCTCTGCGGCTGGATTTCAAGACCTGCGTTTTGGACTCTAGACTTGCCCTGGTGTAATTCACTTGGTCAGTCCCTGAGTCTTAATCCTCCAACTCAGCCTCTCATCATGTAAAAGAACAAGAAGCTAGCATGAGTTTTAGTAAACTTGGTAACGTTTTTGCGGGTTGGCTGAGGTGAGTTACTTAGGACTTACTGAGTTTGACTCTGTCATGTCAGTGGCTTTGCTTTTGCCAGAAAACAAAAGTGATTTTTAGATTTTACGGGAACTAGATTGTGTTCTATAGGGAAAGAGGGCCTTAACGCTATAGTTGCTCCTTCCTTCGAGAATATTTTCTCAACATTGAAAACAACCAAAAAACAACAAAAACAACTCTGATTTGTTGGACCTAAGATTTGGATTTTTTTATTAAAAAAACCCATTAGCGACCTTACAAACTTCATGTCCCCAAGAACACTCAATTTTGAATCTTTTTTTGTTTTGTTTGAAGGAAGTACAAGGAAGGGGGGAAGAGAGAAGAGGGGGGCATCTGTGGGGGTTGGGGGGTAACATTCCGGGAGACCTTTTGGCAAATTTCTGAGATTTTGAAGCTTGGAGATTTTGCGGGGCAAGATATGTGGCGTTAAATGAGCGTTAAGTTATTTATGGTCCATTTTCTGCAATCGATTCACCATTGAAAAGTTTTTTCAACTAAAAGCTCTTGGTTCTGTAGAGATCTGGGGTTTTCGCCATAGGTTTACTACAATCTCAATGCTATTTTTTACCACAAATTTAGAAAATATCTGTAGAAATATATAGTTTTGGACATAGTTTCTATTAGTCCATGTAGAAATGAGTCCCCTCTTAAAAATCTATTTTGGAGATGGATTTTTGGACCTATTTTTTTTAGGACATATGATATCTAACATGGAGATCATGAATATGAAAAAATAAATAAATTTTAAAAATTAAAAATAATAATTTTATGAAGAAAACATTTGAACCGTTAGTTTTAATTGTTTTTAGATGGACCGCCCATTTGCATCCATCTTTAAGATGGATGCTTTATACCTTGGGGGATGCAAATGTTGTAATGTGTCCCCCGACGCATGGAAATAGGTTTTTGGATTCTCTTGGTTTTTCCTATTCTTACCTTTTAGAGTTTTTCTTAATTTTCCCATTCTTCTTTTTTGACCTTTTTTGAATCTCGGACAGAACTTCCTACGCTGATTTTCTCATTTTATGACCTGACTTGCCCCAGGGGCTTGGTGAAATCTTGGAGCAGCAATGTTTTCAAAGCTGGACTCAACCTGGAGCTCATCAAGTCCTCGGGACGTGTACATCAATCTGGTTTGAGTCATTTGGCCATTCATACCAGGAAACCAATTCGAGTCATCGGTCTTCATGCCAAGCCAGACTGAGACCCGGTAAACCAAAACCCACCACAAAGGTCTGGGTCCTCCCATCAAACCCCCAGCTGACAAAGGGCCCATGGAGGCCAATCTCATCAAACATCCAACTGACACAATACCCATGGAAGCCAATCTCATCAAACCTTTATCCGACATAGTGACCATCGGAGTGAATCTCATCGAACTCCAAGCTGCCATGGTAGTCATGGGAGTCAATCCTGTCTTGGAAGTCTTACTCAATAGCTTAGTGAGTCAAAGTTATGCCATTCAATCACCAGATAGCTAGTTACTTCAACCCAACAACCGCACTGGCCAACAACAGTCACTACCGGCCCCACTGGTTCCCCCTTTCCAAACCATGGGGCAACTCAGCTAGGCAGTCCATTGAACTTCAGAAATGGGTTATACACCCCAAGTTCAGCCTTACCAATCAATTGTAAGCAACCAGTCTGCCAGTCAAGTCACTTTAATAAAGACACCTGGTTAACCAAGATGGATGAAAATAAAAGCACTTCAGGGCGCATTAGAGAGGATGCGGATCTGAGACTTTATCAAGTGAAGACCATACTGAGAGGAAACCCTAGGAAATGAGATGGAAGTTTAACGCTAGGAAATCTTGAGGATAACCCAAGTTCAGCCTAACCAATCAATTGTAAGCAACCAGTCTGCCAGTCAAGTCACTTTAACATAGACACCTGGTTAACCAAGATGGATGAAAATATAAAAGCACTTCAGGGCGCATTAGAGAGGATGCGGATCTAAGACTTTATCAAGTGTAGACCACACTGAGAGGAAACCCTAGGAAATGAAATGAAAATATAAAAGCACCTCTATATAAACTCTATATAGTCAATGAAATGGAAGTCTAACGCAGGCTCGAGGACCATCCAATTTAGTCTTGGAGCATAGGAAGGGACCAACATGAGAATTTATCAAGTGAAGACCACACTGAGCATGAGCTCAACCAAGTCTTGACAGGTGAGATCCTTATGACTGTTTTATTGAGGATAGCCTTAGCCCTTAGTCTGTCATACAAGAAGAAACCAGAGAATCAACTGTCCCATGGGGAATTCCCATTGCATCAAAAGTGACAAACGCAAAAGATGAATGTAATGCCCCTTATGATGGCACATAATTTAGGGGTTGAAAGCTCAAGCCCATTCAACTTGCCAAATTTTCCATCCAATTTAAAGACCAATGGAAGAAAACCCTTTCTCAAATTTTGAGGGGTGCACTTGGACCACCGCCCTTGGATTTCGTAGCAAACCCACTTAAGTGGGATGAAGAACCGGACCCAAAGGGACCTCAGGAGCTATCTTCATGGGTCGACTCATTGGATAACTTGTTTAAGTGAAACGAAGAATCAAACTAAGAAGACCTCAACAAGTAATCTTCGCATGGGTTGACCCATCAAATGAGGAACCGAGTCTGGACGATCCAATCGAATTTCTCTCTAAGGCAAACCCAAGAGGAGACAAGGAACTAAGGAAGATGCAGAGGAGATGAGGTCAATCACTCTTCCATCTTCCCAAGAGCCAGAAGAGGGTCTCCTAGAAATCCTTAGGTGTTCTCCTAGACCTTTATTATCTGATTTCCTCGAAAACCCACCTAAGTGGGATGAAGAGCCAGACCTAGAAGAACCAGTCAAGGTACTTTCTCGGGTCAGCTGAATGGGTACTCCCCTTAAAGCATGATGAAGGAGTGAAGCAATATGAACCCATAGAAGATAGCAAGGGCAGGGGTATACCTCTGCCAATGTAGACACCTCGTAACCAAGAAACTTTGATTGATGAGATACCAATGCCCATACTCGAAGGACCGACAAGGATGAGCCCATCTAACCCATTGATAGGGGCAAGACCAAGACCAAGAAAATTTGCTTAACAAGACATTACTCCCCACCATTATGAAGACTAAGCAGGGGCAACCCCATATAGCCATTTGATAGTGAGGTCCCATATGAGGACAATGGAGACAATACTAGTGGCGGCTGAGGTCGTGGCCTCATCTGACCTATCCCAACATGCCTTAAGGCGTTTAAGAGATAACAACACTATTGTTGTGTAGATTACATCTTGCACTCGAGCACTGAGGATGAGCCCGAAGCGGAATTAAATCCCAAAGATGAATTACAACCTAAGGTTCTTTACGGAAAGGACAATCAAAAGGGAGTAGGATGATCACTTATCACTTTTAGCGGGTGAGGCCTTCATGCCCACTTAGGTTCAATACTTTTGTGTCATTAAATCTTAAGCATCAATCCACGCATTTTTTTTTTCAAAGCAGTCTTTTAAAACATGCACTAGTACATAGAGACTGAAGATCTTCTTCCAGTCCCTTGTCTACAAAATCAGTGATCTAGAGTACTAATAGGCACGACAAGGTCGTGTAGCCACCCACAACTCATTGTAAGGGTTCTCGAAAGGCACTCTAATCCTTCCAACACTCCTGCACTAGGACAATTTAAATTTTAAGAATAAAATTTAAAGTAATGCTAAAATGCTAAAATTAATTAATGCATTTAATACATGCTTGGGGGTAGGTAACAAAACCCTTTTAAAAGGGGAAAAATCTTAATGAGCTTGGCAGCCCGTCAATCCGTCCCAAGGGACTAGAAAACTGAGAGCGGTCTTGAGATTGAAGAATCTAAGGTTCGAGTGAAGTCCAAATGGTTGTAATAGGAATTTATCAACCATTATTGACGAAATGTTGGATACCAACAGAAGTGCATGGGTGACAAGTGGATAATTGAAACTTTGGACTCCCTATCACCTGGAGAACTAAGATAATCACAATTTTGGATGGAATACAAGGGAGTCCTCACGTGATCTTAGGGAAATGTGCCACAAACAAGTGTCGCCAATTTCCAAGAAAGGGACACATTGTAAAGGAGCAACTCACATGCATAAATAGTCAAGGGTCGAAGAAATTATCATGTTCCAAATTATCAAATCTCAAGCACCAAGCCAATTACAAGAAGTGGTTGTCAAAAGAAATAGAAAAGAAAAGAAATGGAAAATGAGCCACCCAGTTGGAAATGCGAAAGGGACCTCGGGGTTGTACAAAAGAAATTAATAGAAAAAAGAAAAAAAAGAGGATGGCCAAAAATCTTTCAATGTCGACATTGGTTCACAGTCCCCAAGTCATAAGACATCCAAGCTCTCCAAGTCAACTCATCATTCAAAAAGTCTGAAGAGGTAACATTGATTTGGTAACTGAAGCTATTCAAGAGGCAGTAGCCGAATGGATCATGGGAAGAGATTTCTCCATGTAAACTCAGAAGACCTCAGCCATCCAAACTTCAAAAGGTTGATTCTTGTGGGGGTGCGAAATTAGAAGTCTGGAAGAGATCCCTAGCATTTAGGGGCAATGTCCTGCATTCTCCAAGACATGATCTGTTTGAAAACCTTGAGGAATCTTTCTTTGGATTGTGGCATGAGGACAAGGATCAAGGATGAGGGAGTACTTGATGATTCCTAGCTCTGAAAATCCCAGCCAACGTTAGCTCAGCTCATGAAAAATTAATTAACTCAAAACTCGCAACCCTAAAGCAAAAGATGGGCATCAAATGTTTTCCCAATTAGCTTTTAGGAATCAGATCTCAGGTAGCAAAAGATCCTTGGAGGATTAAAAGAAAAAGGGAAAATAAAAATCTAAAAATAAAAATTTCCATGAAAGGGTCACAAGTGGTTAAACTGTAAGACCCATCTTTCAAAAAAAGAAAGAAAGAACATTTAAAAAATCTCTGAAAAGGTTCTCTCACAAATTTTCCAATATTTTCAAATTTCAAAGCTTTCAAGAAATGCTCCATGGTCCCATTAGTCTAAACTGCTGACCAAAGTCTTTATTTTTTCTCTCAATTTTTATTTCAAATATTTCTCAAAGGGATTTTCAAAATATTTTCTTTGAGTTTCAATTTTCAAAATTCTGAAAAGCCCCACGATATCAAGGACCATTTTATATCCATCACTGCATATCGGTAAGTTGCTTAGAGGGCTCCATAACACATGAGCTGAAACTGTTAACTAAGTCATTTTTTAAAAATCTCCCACTCTTTAAAATGCCCTTTTAATTTCTTAATTTCTATTCTCTTAATTCTAATATCGTAAATTCTAGTTCTTAAATCTTCCAAGAAGTTCTTAAAAATCCCTAGTAAAACTAATTCCCTCAACCTCCAAACCTTTGAGCCATTTGGAAGCCTTAGATGCAAAAGAGAGAAGGAAGTTTGAGATGAAGCTAAATTTGGATTCGTTTTAGTTCATTTCATTTTATTCAAACCTTAAAACCTAAAAGTGATGGCATGGCAGAACTCATGCAGCAATCTCGACATGTCCACGGGCAACAAATCCCAGAAAAAGCTCGCTGTAGGATGGAAATTCTCTAGACAGTTGAGTTAGGATGTTAGTTGCCGATGGACTTGGTGTGACCACTGTCCTTTGACCATTCTGTTCTAGACCTTTCAAGTTTTCATAAGTCACAGGTGTTTACTTCTTTGCCTTCCAAAGAGGGGCGACTATAGACACTCCCTTTGTATTTAAATTTTTTTTTGAATTCTAAACCCCTGGAGCACACGATCGCCACAGTACACCATAGGATACACTGTAGAATAGTCCATTCCCAGACATTAATTCCTTTTAGAATATTCCCAAATGCCCACTTCAGGAGTAAATAATCCCATAATTATGAGGGAAAGAGAGAAAATATTTGTGAAATCTTTAAAACAGAATGAATTGGATATAAATTAACATAAATCATTACATATTAGGAAACTCCGGAGCAATTTGGGGCGATGGAGGTCAAAAGAGTGCAGTGGTGCTGATTGCAATATTGATCCAATTGACGGCTTGGGATTGAGCCGGATAGCTAGAAACTAATTATGCAAGTGTTTTTCTATGTAAGAACATATTCCAGACCATTTTGGGGCTCTTAAACCATGAACCCTGTACTTAGGCTACTAAAACCCTAGCTCTAGGAACCCTAATCAGCCAATTTCAGAGAACAAAATCATATTTTCAGTCAATCCAAATGTCCTTGAGGTAAATTCCCAGGCACTTCCTTTCCCTGGACTGCGAATCATTCATTTGGATCACAATCTTGAAGATCGAGGAGAAAGACTCATGTTCTTTGGTCTAATCTGGGCCCAACTCCGGGTGGCTTCCATGTTCTTTCATCCTTTTGTTTTATTTTTCTTTATTATTTCCTTTATTTTTATCATTATTCATCTCTATGCTCTGAAAATCCCTTTTAAATTTTGTTTTTCTTGTTTGACCTTTATTTCCTCTTTATTTTTGATTTTATACAAACCTAAGCAGGCCTTGGCCGACTAATTGTGGGAGGAGGCGTTTTGATGCTGATTTGCTCATAAATCATAATTTGACGGAACCCACGTCTTTTGATATTTAAAATTTTAAAATTTGGACATGATCTTGGACTTATCGGAGTTTAAGTAGTTTGCTCAATCTCAGAATCGTGTGTAAACAATATCATACAAAATCTTCGGAAGCCCTTCCAAGGACTCTTCAAAAATCCTAGACGTTTGAAATTGTTTCTAAATGCATAACAAAAATATTGCATATCTAAGAACTGGGACTCTATAAAGGTTTTATTGCTTATTTAATTTGTAGATAACATAATTTGGTTGTTACCCTTGTAGAAACTAGTTCTTTCCTCCTTTATTACTGTTTGCAAAATGGAAAATTGTTTGGGAGAAACAATGCACTTGGATGCAAATCTTTATAGTTATGAAAAGCATGCTAAATTACCTGACATTTCTATATACTCTGGATGGTTTGCATTGTGGTTGACAGACGAGATTGGCTTTCCATTATTCTATTACTTGGCTTGATTTTGCTTGATTTGTTGAAAGCAGCCGTCATGGTTTTGTGCTACTCCTTTGTATGCAGGGAAAAGACAAGGATAACATTGTCTATCAAACAACTGGAGGATGATCCCCTCCTGGAGACATTGGACAAAGTAATTCCTCAAGTAGGTATCTTAAAGGTGTTTGAGATTGTCGATGTTGCTTCACTTTTTTCTTCACATGAGATGTTACTAATTTATTTCTATGCACTCGGTATATTTTACAGAATGGTCAGACAGTTTCTGATGTTTTGAGCGTGGATGATAGTGTAAACTATGAACCTTTGCCTGGACTGGAGGCCATTTGTCAAGAGCTACTAAAAGAAGAGGGGTATGGTTGAAATACTTCAAATATTGTGCTAAATCTGCCTTAATGAATCTATAGTATCATGCAGCTAGCAAACACTTTGGTATTGGATCACACAATATCTTTATAAGTTGAAATGTGCTTACACAAGACTTTTTGACTGATGCCCTTACACAGAAATATTACCTGACAATCCACAGAAGAACCACACTCTTTGAGAGTGGCATATCAGCTGGTTTGGCCCTTAGCTTCCTTGTTTCCTTAAAGAGGCCTGACATATACGTCCTTTGAGAGATAAAGATTATTCTCTTAGACCTGACCACTTCTGTCCTAAGAAAATACTTCAACAGACCTAGATCTTTAATTTCAAACTCGTTGCTAGAAAACTTTCAAGTTGTTGAATTTCCTTTGGACAATTACCTTCTTTGTTTTAAGGATAGTTCAATTGTAGGAATCAAACTTGGGAGTGACGTGAGCTGAGGATCAATGCGTAAGGTAGACTTAGGCCTTTAAACCTAGCTAATCACCAAGTTGTCATACGAATCTCCATCCACGATATGCATGCATTTGAATCAGTAGACCAGACCATGAATTGGTAATATGCTTCAATTAAGATGCTAGGGAGGTTGTTTCTCCGCTTGGGCAGTTTTAGGTCTTCTTTGAACCAGGTCAACTCATACCTTTGATTTTCTGTGAGAGATATGAAGTTGTATTTCCCTGGGACAAATTGATATCGGCCATTTTCCCAGCAGAACCTCACCTTGGAGCTGCTAACTGCTATATCACATCCTTAGAAGGTTTTGTTTTACAATACTACATAAAGGGCAAGTTTTGCTGCGTCCTATACCCTACACCTAATGAGGATTATGTACCTGAGCCTGTCTATAGACTGATATTCTGAAATTATGGAAGTTTAGTTATAGATTGAGTCTTATTATTGAGTGGGATTATCAGCGAAGAATATTATACCATGGCAAAAGCTCTATTGCCTTTTAAGTGTATACAAAATACATAATAGCAATAAAATATAACAAACTACTCTTTACAAAAATCTAGCGGTACAAAAGAGCACTGTTAAACAGGCTTGTTCTACTTGAACAAGGAACTGCAAGTAGATACTACATTCAATATTACTTGTGCACAACTTGAGGTAGAAAGAACATGGAACTGCAAATCGATACAACATTCAACATTAAATGTGTCATACCTTGGAGAGAAAAAGGATTCAATGTCTAGCAGAAGAAATGTTTCTATGAATAAGATCTCAAAATTCAATGACATTAACCATTAGTTTTAAGATATAAAAAAATGATCCATAAGCTTTTGCTAAGAGAAAACATAACTAACTGAACTCATGAAGAAAGAAACATTAGTGAGAAAAAATTGATCAAGAAGGAAGGACCTATTTCTTTTTCCAACATTGGATAGATTTGGTTACTGAGTACTTCAGGGTCCGAATAGAATCATGTGCTGTTAGGCTTGTGTTAAGAAGAGATGAGTTTTGAATATTATGAGCTTGTGGGAAAACAATGCTAGTATTGGTCAGATTGGGTAAACCGTCGTGTTGCTCTGGGTTAGTGGCCCTTACTGTCTTGTGTAGATCATAGTCAGAAATGCTCATCAAATAGTAATAAACAGAATTACTGTTAAATTAGTTTGGGACAGGTTTCCTCGGAGTTGCGTATCCCAAGATTGCTTTCTGAATCCATTACCTGGGCTAGCAACCAAATCTCTTTACTTATGATGTCCAATTTGAAATCCTTGCACCATGCCCCTTTCTTTTATTGGTCCCTAACGTATTTATTTGATGCTGTTCCTACACTTCCTCTCTGTCTCTATATCCCTTTACGAATGATTATGATGATTTTATTCTCTCTTTGCAGCATAACTCAAGTTAAAATTGGCCGGCAAGGATTTGAAAAACGTGTGGTATCACAGGACTTGGAGCTTTGGCTTTCAAATGTGAGTTATTTTTTATTTTTTGTATTTTTTACACATAAGAAAATTCAGTTTTTGTTCACTTGGTCTTTTTTGCTTTCAGGTGCCTGCGGGGAATGGGCAGTTCACACTTCTTGCTCGAGCTGGTAGGCAGGTAATTTTTAAAAAAAACCTATGGATCATGACAATTTTCATTTTAGCTTCCAATGCTTGACTGGAATCGGATCCCGGTAACTCCTATTCCGACTCATACTCACATCAAGATGTGGGTGTGGTGTGCCAAAGTGGTAGATTTAACAAGCTACACACAAGTCATGAACTACTACTGTAAGGCACTTTAGGATTAAACCAAAAAACTCAAAAAAGAGATTATTTATTGGATTTTATTCCATGCTTCACTGGATTTGCTTCGTTCACTATATCTTTTAGATGATTTTAACTTAGAGATATGTATTTAAAGATTTAACTTCAAAGGCCCATGAGGACTCTTGGAAATAGCGTTCATCTTATCTTGGCCTTTTCCCAGCAAACTTGAGCTTAAGGCAATAAAGTGTGATGAGTTTGGGATCCTACCCTTCTCTGCTTAAATCCAGATTTAGATGCCTTACTGAACTACTACTAACCTTCCTTAGAAAAAAGTTTTCTTCGATAGATTCAAATGCATTTCTTATGAAACACTTGACTGTTTTTCCCAACCTATATCATTAAGAAATTTCTTAGGCTGAAAATGTATGGATACACAGATTGATGGGTGAATAGACAGTTTTACTGAAAGCAGTGTGCTGTGACTCGCCTGAGTCCACAAGGACTCAACTCCGGCGAGCCCCGAGTTGGGTGCACAACTCGAGGATATAAAAAGAAATTTCAAAAGAATTCTAATTTTTTTTAAAAAATGTTGGATTGTTCTATAAATGTTTGTATATGACATGGATGTATTTGGAAAAGATTGATATTTTCCTCTTTGTTTGATTTTTTTCAATGTCCCAAACTGTAAATCGTTTTTTTAAATCTACTTTTTTCACTGCGTCTTAAAGCTTTTTGTAACTTTTTGAAGTTGTTTTGGGTTTCTACTTTTGCTACATGTTTTTTTATTTTTCAAATTTTTTTATTTTTAATTTATTTTTTATTCTTTTAGGGCCAAAAGGCCATGTGCTGGACTCTGCCGAGTCTTGGACTTGGCCGAGTAACTCACCTCGGTTAGAGTCCCTTGGCTGAGGCGAGTCCTGGCACACTGACTGGATGTACTGCATGGGATTGAAAAAATTCAGACTGATCAAGACGGCATCAAAAGGGGGTTGACTTCTGTAACCAAAGCTATTTTGTCCTCAAAAAATAATAGGGAGTTGACTTCCTCATTTTCTGGTTCAGGTTCAGGAAGTCCATCTGAGTGCCTTGCTTGATCAAGAAGGCATCAAAAAGGCCGTGCAAAGAGTCTCAGGGCGTGTTCCTTGAACTCTCAATGTAAAAGGGGGTCACAAGATCTACTGTATGTAACATGCCAGTCTACGATTAATTATAACTTAAATCTAATCAGGATAAGTTTGTATGTATTTGTGTTGTTCAGCCAAGGATTTGTTGATACAAAAAGCAGATAGCACACAAACATTCTTTTGTACATTCTGTTCATAACCAACTTTAGAATTGGAGCATCTCATGTAATTTTGTTATACAAGATGAGTCAGATGAGAGTATTTTTCCAAGTATTGTTTTCTTGATTACATGTGCAACCCAAAGCTTAAAATTTGCATAGTTGTAGCTCTGTGATGAACTCGAGTCTCACACATTGGAATATTGTTGCTGGAAAATGACGCTGAGTCTCGCACATTGGAATGTTGCTGCTAGAAAAGGGGAAAATTGTTGAACTTGGGGTAGATCTCATTATGGAGGACTTAAAGTTAGGCAGTAAATATCAAATGATACCTTGCCTCCTGCTAAAGAAACATGAACCTTTGTGAAGAAAGTTTAGTTTTATGGCTTGATATGAAAACTAGGGCTAGTTCTTTGCTTGGTAGGGCAGCTAGTGCTAATTATTTGCTACTATTAGAAATCACTGTCTTATGATTGGGTGCGGTTTGTATGGAGCCTAGGCTCTAAACGATCAAATTAGTGCCTACCTTCAACTAGCGTCAAGAAATGTGGTTTGAATACTGGAATTATTTGAGATAGCCTTAAAATATATTTTTATCTTTATTTATAAAGTTAAATCTTCAAAAATAATGTAGATTGACTGATCTATGAAAACGTGAAAATATTGAAAATTGACGGTCCAAAAATGTGTTTTAAACTACACAACTTTCAAAACTTGATATCCAATTTTTTATTATGTCCATGCATCTTGATGTCGAGATGATCAATTTGAGGATATTTAGGCATCAAAACAACCTTTTCTAGTGAAATTTTTGAGGTAGGCTCTAATTTGATTGTTTCGAGCCTCGGCTCTATATAAACTTTCCCCTTATGATTAGTCTTAAAAAACATTTCTCTATTCCATTCTGATGAAAACTGCTATTTTCTTCATTTTGAAGATGTTCCTTGGCCTTCTACATGGGGTTATCTCTTATACAAGTAACTTCGTCTTAGAGCTCTAAGATCGCACCCGAGGTTACCAATGGAAACCAAGAACTGGAACGCCTGAGCTGATGTATAAAATTATATCAAATAAAAACAGTTCGAAACACGGTAGTTCTCCATTTGATATTTGTTAATGCAGAGAGAGAGGGGAATGGATTAGTAAAAATTGGTGAGGAGGCCTTTTGTTGCTAAGTATTGAAGTGCTTTGCACTATACTTTTCCAGATTGGAGAAATGATGAGCCCTTTAGCATGAAAGTACTAGGCGTAAACATCAATTTTATAGTTTACTTGAGAAGGCCATATGTTAAATTTTCCAGAATATAAGGTTTCAGAGTTTTAAGTTTGTGTTTTATTGCTTTTCTTTTTCTTTGGTTTTGAGCTTGGGGGCATCTAAAGAGAGAAGCACTTTAACCAGATTGAAAGATTTACTTTCAGGTATTTTACAACAGAGGACGTGAACGCTCGCAGGTTGTCACTTGATGTCTCAATGGGGAATAATTATTGGGAAAATTACAAAAAGAAAAAAAAAATAAAAATCCAAGACCACATTTTTTATGCAATTTATTTTCAACCTAACTTTTTCTCTCAATTTTTTCTCCAAAACAAACTTTCTATACAAATATCCCTTCAAGAGAAAAAGTTCATTTTTTAGACGGAAATACTTTTCTTATACACAAAAATTATTTTGGCCATATTTGACGTTGACTTTTGGACTACGGTAGCACATTGTCAGAGCGCACCATCACATCGCTGAATGCACATGTGATGACCGTAATGTTTTTTTAAAATTGAATAATGATGATGATGATGATGATGATAACGATATATTTTCGTCTTGTAGAACATTTACATAGTATGGTCTGAAAAAACCACTTTTTCTTTTTGCTTCTTTGTAATTGAGCCGTGTGAAGTCTCATCTTTTTGTTACTCTATGACGTTACTCTATGATGTGGCAGATTATTATTCAGGTATGTTGGCTTGGTGACATATCCACCATGATGTGTATGCTATGCCATCTTTCATTGCATGTGTCAAGGACGTAAGCACCTATGAGGTGATGCCCTCTTAATCATGTTACATACCTTTCCCTTTACCTGCAACTCACTCTCTCTCTAGACTGATGGTTCATCTCACCTTCATTCCTCGTAAACTTTCCTCTCAACCCAATTGCATGGTCAAAGAATATCATTCCATTGAGCAATTGAGTAGGGACCATAATGCGTTCATGGAAAAGTCAGACAAGAGTTTAGGTCCCTTCATCCATATCATTCACATATTGTAACCAAAAAACATGCAGTATGGCGTGCCAAAGGCATCATTCAGGTCTATCGGTGATGCATACTTGAAGAGGCCTGAATTTGCGCTAGGTCCATCATACTTGAGCTTTCGGTTCTCACAGCTAAAGATTATACGGCTGACTTAAACTCAAATTGAGTATTTTAATTTCTCTCGCATCTTAAAGGGACACATAGGTAAGTGACCTCTTTCTCTTGAAAAATAGTACGTTTTTTATAAAATTGTGATATTACGTACATCATTTTTATATTATAAATTTTATGCATAAGTGATCTCGATTTCCTTTAAAATAACTATCTAAAAATTGGTATTTTTGCTTTTAATAAAATTGCGATATTCTGTTTACTGTTATGAATTTTAGATACTGTAAATTATGGTATTTCATCTTTCAATAAATTTGTAAGATTTCTGTTTATTTTTATAAATTTTAGATATTGTAAGTTTTATGTGTAAGTGACTTCATTGACAGTCATACACATTTTTCATGCGATTTTGACCCTCCTTAAGAGTGGCACATAATTCCTTAATTATGAGGTCGCGATCTAACAATTGTCTCTCAACAGTTTCAACTCGAGCGGTGCCTAGACCGTATGTTAGCAAGGATGGTGGTGACATGCTATAAACCACTTCAAATGGAGTTATTTTGATTGCCAAGTGCCAACTAGTGTTGTAACAGTACTCTACCCAAGATAACCACTTTCCCCATTCCTAAGGATTTGAACCAGAGAGACACCTCAAATACATCTCCAATGTACGGTTAACAACTTCGCTTTGGCCATTTATTTGGGGGTAGTAAGCAGAGCTATAATTAAAGTTTGTACCATTAAGTCGAAACAACTCTGACAAAAAATTACTAGTGAATGTGGGATTTCAATCAAAGAAGAAGACTTGTGCAACTCCCGTGGCTGTGCGTGGGTGAGAGAAGGGACTAAAGTGTGCATATTTTGATAACCTGTCAACAACCACCAGTACAATAGATTTTCCCTTAGAAACTGGTAATACCTTGACGAAATCCATCGAGATGTCCTCCCATATTTGGAGTGGGATTGGCAATGGCTGGAGTAGCTCAGCAAGATATACTTGCTTCGTCTTGTGGCGCTAAAATGTGTCACGCTGGGCAATAAAGTTCTTAATTTTAGTCTTCATGTTCGGCCAATAAAAACTAGTTTTTATCTTTTGGAAGGTTTTCTGATAACCCTCATGTGTGCTAATCGTGGAACTGGCCAGTTATATCTTTAATTAAGGACGAATTTTCAGCAAGATAAATTCTTTCCTTAAAAAAAATAAGCCCCTCCTTAAACTCCCATGGGCCCACTGTTTCATCATCCTGTATCCGTTGAACTAACCCCTGCAAAGCCAGGTTTGAGTTGATCTCCTCCTTAACCATAGCTACCCAATTGGGTACTGGTTGAGAAATAGCAGCCAACCTTCCTTTCTTGTCTTCGTTATTTTCTCCATATTCTACCCTTCTAGACAAGGCATTGGCCACAACATTCTCCCTTTTCTATAGTCAATAACAAAATCATAGCTCGTCAACTTGTAAAGCCACCTTTGTTGTGCAACTGGGGTCCACTTGAATGAATCTTTCTTGAGTATGTTAGTAATTGGCCCAGCTATCTTACCAAAAGTTTGAATAAATTTTTGGTAATAGCCAGTTAGATTAAGAAATCCTCTCATAGCTTTTAGGCTTAGGCCAACTCAACATTATAGAGACCTTATCCAGATCAACCACCACTCCTGTGTTAGATATTATATGGCCGAGGTAGTGTACCTCATTTTGGCCAAATTGACACTTCTCTTTCTTGACAAACAACTTGTTAGCTTGTAAAATGGCCAGTATAATTTCTAAATGCTTAAAATGCTCTTCCTATGATGCACTATATATTAAAATATCATGGTTCATCAAGGACTGAAAAGTTGACGGGGCGTTGGTGAGACGGAAGGCATCACCAAGAATTCATAATACTCATGGTACGTCCGAAATGCTGTTTTTTCCATATCTTCGGGCACTAATCGAATTTGATGGTATCCAGATCGTAAGTTGAGCATTGAAAATATCTGTGCTCCTTTCAACTCGTCCAATAACTCATCAATTACTGGAATCGATAACCGATCTTTGATTGTGATCTTGTTAAGGGCACAAAGTCTACACACATCCTCCAAGATCCATCATGCTTCTTAACCAAAATTACTGGTGAAGAATACAGACTGTTTCTAGGTCGGATGACCCCCGTGGTGAGCATTTCAGTCACTAAATTTTCAATCTCTACCTTTTGATAATATGGGTATCGATAGGCCTTGACACATATAGGCCCACTCCCTGCCACCAAGGGAATCTTGTGATCATGGGAACGTGGAGGTGGATGATCATTGGGCTCCTTGAATACGTCCTGGAATTTCTCTAAACTTTGCTTCAATCGGGAAGGTTGAACCACTGCCTTGGGCGTAGACCGTGGAGTTCCCAATGTGTACAACTGTAACAATACGCCCTGTTTGTTTTCCCTTGCTTCACGGTTGAACTCCGGGTCCCCAATAACCTTATCATCAGTAGCTGTGACTCCCTTGAGAATCTCATCTTTTCCTTCTATATTAAATTTCATTAATAGCCTTGCAGAGTCCCATACAATTGGGCCAACTGTTCGTAACCATTATGCCCCTGAAACCATGTCATAGCCTTCTAATGACAGCAAATAGAAGTCCACATAGACCAGCATACCTTGCAATAGCAACTTAATGTTCGAGCACTTACCTGCGCCAGGCAGTTTCTCCCCTGATGCCACCACCACTTCGAAACGGTTATCGCTGGCTGGTTGTAATTTCACTTTCTTAGAA